CCGTTGTTTTCAAAAATATTCTCATACAACCGTTCAGAAAGTAAATGACCTTTGCGAGAACAAACGTAGTCTATGACGTGTAAAGATAGGCCAGTGCGTCCACGGTTGCGAGGTGACAACCATTGAACCGTTAGAATACGCGCAGAGAACAACAAACGGAAGACGCGCGCGGACGGACGGATTGGCCAATGAAAAAAAAAACCGGGGTATGCCCGATAGTGCCCTCTGGTGGGCGGACATTACGAGATTCAAAACAAACTTTAATTTGATATTTGAACATTTCTCTATTATATCATATTTGGCCCTCTTTACCGATGCACACAGTTGCCAAAACAATGCACTAGGCGTAGCTTTCAAACTCGATGGTGAGAAGAAAAACCTATTGTTTTGTCCTCGATTCACATAACCCCCAACATTGCAATTATTGAGGGTCGGCAAGGGGTATTTCCGTAAGTGGTAATCAATTATTTTTATTTTCGTAATAAGGTAATTCAAATAAATAAAAAACGTAAATTCGTAGACATCATGGCCAAGTTGTAAAATGTAATCAGCTATTTTATTCGTTCGTAATTTGTACAAAGATCTTATTGTTTGTAAGCATATAAAGCATTTTCCACTTTAAAATGCCGTAATTCGTGCGCAATTTCAAACTTTGATTCTTAAACACAAATTGTAAAAATGTAATTAGGAATTTGCTTAATTTGTAAAGTGTAAAAACCTATTTTTACTGTAAATGGAACTTTCCATTTTATTTCCTGTAAAAACGTAAAATGCATTTTTTATTTTCTGTAACCTGTACCAGCTATCCCCCCTTGTCCCCTTCTCTATTGTATGGCGGAAAATTAAAATATTAGACACATGTCTTTGTTAAGTTTCAATATGGTGGCCCGATATAGTAAATATCGGTAAATTTATTGCTACCTGAAAGTGTTTGTAAACACTCATTGCGTGTGAAATAGGGCCCGATAACACATCCTAGTAATTCTAAGGTTCCGAAACAATGAAAACAAACATCATCTTTTTGAGTGGCTGAATTATTAGAAGAAAAACGGAAATTACATTTTGAAAGGTCATTATCATGGGTATGATTTTAGTGGTCGAATCATAAAAACGAAAACAGTTAAACAGAACACGTGACTCGAAGTTCGACTTGAAGTCCGGGTGTGTCGGGAATGTTTCGAAACAATCTTTATTGTAGCAAATCAACTTGATTAACATTCTAAGCAATTGCTGTTCAATTACATTTACTATCTATCAATTACTAAGAGTCAATAAGTAAATAAATAAAATCTTGAAATTTTGCTTAATTTGTTGGGTTGCACCTGTCGCGTGACTACAATTTTGTGAGATCATACAATATATTAGAGTTATGAAACAATGCGAATTCCGATTGTGTCTGCCAAGAACACGCGTGGTTTTGTTATATATCGACTGTGTTTTTATATTCTCTGTACACGTAATTGTCTGGACGAAATGTAAACAATGGATTCACTATAAAATACTAGTACTCGTACAGAGAAACACAATTGTGGAATCGAAATGTGTTGGAATCGAAACTTGATGAAATCGCATGATGAAATACAAAAAGTGGACCCGAAGGGATGAGCGGTACAATGAAGTCTGTGAAACATAGTTTCAACTACGGAACGGTAGACCAAGATTGCGTCCTATAAAACAACCTTGCATTGTTTTTCAATGGCGTAGAATGATAGTCCAACTATTAGGCAATAGTTTCGCTCTATTCGATGCCCCTACAAATGTTATAATAGTATTTTATGTGAAAATATCTTGATTGCATTGATAAACAGGCTATAATAATTTCGTCGACGTTTTCTATCATTTTTAATAAGCTTGAACCCAGAATCGGACATAGTATGAATTTTCTCGATGGCACAGAATCATAGCGCAACTAGATACGTGTATCCATAAATGTTCGTATTAAACCCTTGTTTTTTGTTGTTGTTTTTTTGTTGAAGTAAAACAATGTAATGAGTATAAATCAAACAAATGATATGTGAATTTTAGTACATTGCAGAGTTACAAGCTGTGAAATCAAGTCAGAAAAATTCAAAAGTGCTCAAATCAAAGCATTGAAAAATGAAAATGGCAAAGCTGTCAGCAAAGATCTCAGGAGAGTCTTGGTACAATGTAAACAATGACAAGTTAGTTTTTTTGGGGGGGGAGAAAAAAATACATGTACACACAAACTTTATAAGTTTATTAATTTTTATATCTAGAGTATAAATAAAGGTTATTTACAGAAAAAAAACAAGATGTAATTATCAAAATATTAGCTCTCTAGCAAACCAAGCAACATCAGAGTTTACACTGAATACTAATATAATGGCATTGCAAACTTACAAAAATTCATAAATAATTAAAAGGTTCACCTAGGATAAATTCATGAATGCAGCTAAACAAACTATTGAGTTATTTGCTACAACGAGTGTTTATGAAATACCTGAAAATACAAGCAGTAAGCCTCAGAATATCAATGTAACATAGTTGATAAGATGCACAACATAGTTGATAAGATGCACAGCATAGTTGATAAGATGCACAACATAGTTGATAAGATGCACAGCATAGTTGATAAAATGCACAACATAGTTGATAAGATGCACAGCATAGTTGATAAGATGCACAACATAGTTGATAAGATGCACAGCATAGTTGATAAGATGCACAACATAGTTGATAATATGCACAACATAGTTGATAAGATGCACAACATAGTTGATAAGATGCAGTATAAGTATGAATTATTGAAATAATGTTCAATGTTTGTTTTCATAAATATTATTCAGTTGTTAATCATAACTTAGTTGAAATTAGAAAGAAATCCTTTTAAATTTGAGCAAATAATTAACAGATCGACACTAAGCATTCATATGAAATAGTTTGACATTCAGACTACTACAGTTTGACCTTTGAACTGTGTGAATATGCTTTACAATTAGCAAGGAAAATTGACTTTTTTAATATGTTCTTACTTCATTTATTAAATAAAATTAAAATTCTAACAAATCTTCAGAGAGAATTCTCAGCCCTCATTGTCCTAAGCCAGCTGAGTAGAAAGTATGCAAGTATTGCACTATTGTAGATATCAACATCATATCAGTGGTAATACTGAATTATCATTTAATTTAGTAATATCAAGCCATCATAGTACGTATAATAGAGAAAATGCATAAGAGCCATTCTACTATATAATGCTATGATAAGCTAAATAGTGTGAGTTGTGAATACTATAAATGTGAGAATCTGAGCAACATGTTGGATAATAGGATGTAGTAGCCATATTATTGTGTTTGTCTAGATGATAGATATGGGTTATTCCATTTGGAAAGTATTGAATAGATGGGTATGCTGGGAGCATGAGTTGTGATGAAAGGGGGTAATATGTAAGTATGGTAAGACGCTTAATTGGGTGTAGTCATGCATGGATCTTATGTCTTTAGTTTTAGCTTCAACTCAGCCATGGGATTCTGTGTTTACAATTTCTAAAACCAGAGTTAGAAAGTTAGTTTTGCATATTGTAACTCACAATGCTGAGACTGAAAATTACTAAGACGCAGTTTACTTTTAAAAACATGAAATGTGTGAGAAAAAATGCATTTTACCAAAAAATAGAGCATTTAAATGACAACAATCCAAATGTAATTGTGATAGAATTAGTTAATTAGGAGTAATCTGATATGAGTAAAGAGCAGTGTGTCCTCTTAGCTGATATGATGCATTATGATGCAACCCCTGTGATGTTGCTTCACTGACATATGATGCATTATGATGCAATACTTGTAATGTAGCTTCACTGACATATGATGCATTATGATGCAATACTTATGGTGTAGCTTCACTGACATATGATGCATTATGATGCAATACTTGTAATGTAGCTTCACTGACATATGATGCATTATGATGCACTACTTGTGATGTAGCTTCAATGACATATGATGCATTATGATGCAATACTTGTGGTGTAGCTTCACTGACATATGATGCATTATGATGCAATACCTTTGATGTAGCTTCATTGACATATGGTTCACTATGATGCAATACCTTTGATGTAGCTTCACTGACATATGATGCATTATGATGCAATACTTGTGGTGTAGCTTCACTGACATATGATGCATTATGATGCAATACCTCTGATGTAGCTTCATTGACATATGGTGCAGTATGATGCAATACCTGTGATGTAGCTTCACTGACATATGATGCATTATGATGCAATACTTGTGATGTAGCTTCATTGACATATGATGCAATACTTGTGATGTAGCTTCATTGACGCATTGTCATACATTGACATAGCGATCTTGAAATACATCTTACTTATACAGAATTTGTAATTCACATTTTTAAATAAAATAAGTGTAAAATGTAGAAAATCTGGTTGCCTATACATTAACATAAAATTTAATTTTTTTCTTGGAAACCTTTTTCCCTAGCAGTTAACAAACTGACTCTATTCCATTTTGACTTGGTATCCTTACAAATCATTTTTGGTAGAGGGCACATTGGTGAAAAAGTAAATATGTATGATTAGATGTCATGTGTGATGAGAGTGCTTAGGTCAAAGGTTAAACTCCCCTTGATAACGGCAGAATCCAGTGTTTCATTCAAATGATATTCTGTAGGTGAGAACATTGTTTTGTAGTATATTATTGTGTTGGGATAATTAAAATGAGTCATGACTTCTTAATAATTCATTGAATCTATCAGTCAGTCTGTCAAAATCAATACTGGCTCCACCAACACTACTACCAGGGGGTGTTGGAAGACTTAATGGCCTGAAAAAAAAAAAAAAGCATTTATACCTATAATAAAGTTGTGTTGAACTGTTTGAGTGT